CACGCTCCTATAATGCCTGTGTCTCTACCATTAACAAAATTTGTTTTGCACTGTTCAGTCTCCTACATTCCTACCGGCACCCTTCTGGAAATCAGGAAACTGGGTCTTTATCTTCATAAAATCACTGTTATTTTTGCCAAGACACTGAACCCTCTAATGCTCAGGACTTTTCTCTGAAGAATGATGGCAGGGTTTCAAGTTTTATTTGTGCTTAGTGTGTGGCAGGCAGTCCTTTCCCACCCTCTCCAATAGGAAGTAATATAGAACCCAAATACACGAAAAATACCAGAGGAAGCATTCTAGCAGAAGAGGAGGGCCCGTATTTTGTGATGAAAAGTGGGCAGTGGAGTCAAAAGCAGCTCTTCCTCTCATTAGTTCAAGACCCCGGATTCTCTGAGAACTCAGCACGTAAATCACTATGATGAGTAGTCTTGAAGAGCCCTCTGCTTCACATATTGGGACCTGGAATGTTCACCATGTAGAAAATAGACAAAACTCCGGGCCATTTTTAATTTATTGTTTATGTCACATCATTTCCTTTAATTTCTTATAAATGTATTTTTCTGAAAGACTTTTTTATTGCTTCTGCTTTCTAATAGGGCCATTTATTCTAGTGTTTCCCTTATCATCCTGCCCTTATTCCTCTCCACACAGGTGTTAGGCCTAACGCTTGCCTCATTCCCTCAAGAGAGTAACAGACTATTTCAAGTTTCCCATTTGTAATATAACTTGGCTTAATGAAATTCTGCTTCAAGAACATTCTATTTAATATATTAGGGACTAGTTTTAAGACTTTAATTAAAAAAACATTACTTTCAAAGGCTGCTATAATAGAAAATTCTGTAGCTTACTGTAGATTGCCATGGTAATAATGTTTAATGGCTGTATTCATCAGCAAACTTTCCTTCATATTTGCCAGGAATCACTTAACAAAGGCCCCCTTCTCAATTTCCATTCTTATATTTTTTAAAAGTCTTATAATTAGTTCTTCATTGTCACCATATGGTTTTCTTTTGAACTCTGTCCACTTTTTCCCAATGTTCTTCTTCATACTGACCTTAAACTGAAAACAAGAATGGTCTTATGATTGTCCCTAGAAATTCTTTGACATGACAGTGACATATTAAATATTATGCATAGTTAAGTTGTTACAGAGCTTACAGATTACATGTTGATAAGAGCATCAACATACTCTAAAATACATGTCATCAGACAATATTCATTAAATTACAGGCATGTGATGATCTTACGTGTATTTATATTGCCAAATAAATACATATGAAGTCATGTTATAAATCAAGTGTCTACTTTAGCATACATTGCAACCGAATCTCACCTCAAATCTCCAGCCACATTTGAACTCTGCTCCCAAGACCATATACAGATATATAATCTATTAAAGAGGCCAATAGTTGAGCAATACTCTGAAATATTGTATAAAAAAAAAAAACCAAAACTATCTCCTAAAAGGTGATAGGCATTTTCTACCAATGCTGCTTCAGTAACTAGAAAAAGTATTGGTCACAACTCTTCTTTGATTTTCCAAACAAGAAATTGTGTTGCAAAAGGTTTGGTGGGAAAATATCAAAGGGTTATTGGTGTGAAATCAAAGTGCCCCTGAAAATATGCTTTAAACGTGATCTTATGCCTCTGTTTTATCATATACAGTGAAATTTCTCCTACCATAAGCTGCAGCTGCCTTTTATATATTGCATTCCTTTTTACTGTACAATAACCCCAAGAAAAATTAGAAGGAGTGTGACAATGTCATTTAAACTTAAACAAATGTTATTAAGTAAAGGATGTAGTTTATTTGCTGCTTTCTAATTCCTCCCAACTCTAGGAAAGGACAATCTGCTACTTGTCCCACTTAATGTTTCCCTTTCCTCCCTCCCCTCCTCTTTCACTTAAGACCACATTTTTGGAGATACTCCATACACTAAAGAACAAGTTTCAGGTATCTGAGTGTTCTTTAGTGGAGCTGTAAGCCCATGCTGGGGATGCCTCACTCAGGCAGCAAAGAAGGTTAACTCTGGTTTCTCAAAAGGTAAACAGAACTACCTTGGCCCTCCCTGGTGGCGCAGCGGGTTAAAGCACAGCACAAAGAAGCTGAAGCCACTTTCGCATGAGTTCAATTCCCGCCTGCCCCGGAGGTGACCACATGGCGAGGCAGACCTCTCCTGACCCGCCCACTGCTCCCCTCAGCAGTGTACTTCGTAGATCTGCCTGGTCTGCTCCCCACTCTGTCTCTGGTGAAGCCTCTTACTGCCCCTGAGCCTCTGGCCTGTACTCCAGTTCTGTATGTACAAATAAATAAATTAAAAAAAAAAAACAGAACTACCTTGTACCACAGCAATTCCATTTATAGCTACATACTCTAAAGAATTAAGAGCAGGGTCTTGGACAAATATTTGTACATCAATGATCATAGCAGCATTAATCACAATAGCCAAAAGCTGAAAACAACCCAAGCATCCACCAATAGATGAGTGAATAAACACATGTAGACTATACACACAATGGCATATTATTCAGCCATGAAAAGGAATGAAGTACAGCTATGTGTCACTTAATGACAGGGGTACATTCTGCAAAATGGATCGTTAAGTGACTTTGTTATTATGGTAATAACAAAGAGTGTAATTAAACCTAATGATATAGCCGATGGGACCACTGTCATTTGTGGTTGTTAAGCAACACATGACTGTACTCTGTGTGCATCAGTTGTACCAAGGTGAAACAATACAATACAACATGGATGGACCTTGAAAACATTATGTTCAGTGAAATAAGTCAGACACAGAAGAAAAAAATAGCATAATTTCATTTACATTAGGTACTAAGAATAGAGGTTACCACGTGCTGTAGAGAAGGAAGAAAAAAAAGTGATAGTTGAATAGATACAGTTTATATTGCGCATCACAATGAAAAGTTTTGTATAGGTCACTCTTAGGACTATACGCCATGAATGTATTGAAGGTCACTGGTTTACCAATGCTTACTATAATATTATGCTACATCTATTTTATCACAACAAAATAATTACTTGCAAAGCAAAAAATGTCAGTTGTGGTCTGAGCTGTACAAGATGGGCTTGCAGGGCATCTGAGATTTAAGGACAGTCACTACCCAGAAACTGGGATAGTGGCAATCCTATCCAAGTGTGGTCAGCAGCTAGAGAAGGGATGTGGAACTTAAAAGTGTCAGTAATATCTCCAGGAAGAGACAATTATGCACATGGTAAAAACAATTACCAAGACTCCAGCTCACCTAGTGAGGTCACCCTGAGCCTTCTTCCACCCTATACAGCTTGGCTACCACAGGGAGGCTGGGGGAAAAAATCTTTCATGGAATTTATGCAAACTTTCTCTGTTTACTAATTTTTTAAGTGTCACAAGAATTAATTTTGGAACAAGAAAGCAAGAAAAAGATGCTTTTATTCTCTTAGCCTAATGATATATGCTAGTAAATGGAGCACATGTAAGAAAATTTTAGAATGGTGTCTGGTGCCAGCAAGACACAAAGTAGGTTCTCTGTGGTCTGGGCAGACAGGAAAAGGAGTCCTGAAGCTCTCAGTGTTTTTTTCAGCTTTCCAGTGAGCTTTCTACACCATTTGTAGAGGCAACCAGATGCAGGACAGGGAGGCTGGGGAGCGGGGAGCAGGATGCTGACAGGACCCAGCGAATGTTTACTCTCTCTGGTGTTCTCTTCACTGGTCTCTACTGCACTCTGCCACTCCTGCCCTCTGTTACCACCCTTATAAGCTCAGTCTCCCAGCTCAGGTGTGCCCACGTACACATGCACACCATATTCCAGATGCCACCATCAGGCATGCCTGTAGGAGTACAGGTGTTGATCAGGGATGCTAATGGCATGAGGGCAGAAAAACCTGATAACTTGCATTTATCCTACAGTGTCACATGTCCAGAATAATCACTGCCTTTGTTATTGAGCAGAAGCTGGTATTTAGAAGAAGCAGATGCTTCCTTTTACACACACACTTATGTGTATATATATGTTCTCATATATATGCATGAAATGCATGCACATAGGTACTGTGAAATGCATGAAATGTATGTACATAGGTACAGTGGTGGACTTTCTTGTAATTATTCTTTAATCTAAATGGATTTTTTTTTGTTGTAAGAAAAGAACACTATGCAGCCCCAAAGCACAGCCATCTTACCCAGCCCTACGATGCTCAACTATTGCTACTTACACCTGTTTAGTTATTTTAAAATCCGGTTTCCAGCAAGAAGGTTTTAGATTAGCTGTTCTCGTTTTCAGCTACTTGGTAACAAATTAGAAAATGGTGCAACATTTCAGAGAGAACCAGCAAGTCAAAATCTCACCAAAAGGCATAAAGCAGGCATTCGCTTTATTAGTTGGGTGCATAGGGAAAAAGCTGGTAATGAGGTCTTGATGATGGGCCCCCAACTCTACCCCCGAGGAAAAACTGGGAAGGGTTCATCAGGCAACCACTAAAGGCAATTACCTCTCATTACCTTTGTTACTGAGCAGAAGCTGGTGTTTAAGCCCCAAGGAGGCAGTCCACCAAGAGGCAACATCCTGTTTGAATAATTTAGGCTGGGGCAGAGCCAGCCCACACAGTGCAGATGTGTGAGACAAAGCCTGGTTCAGTCGTATCCGTTTTCTGTATCCACAGCCGGCTACCCGTTTTAAAAACTCCCCAAGTTACAGAAGAGGTCGCAAAAGAACCCCGCTTTACCAGGTGGCTAAATACCCCGGGCCGCGTTAGGCAAATGTTTCACCTGTCTGGCCAATTAGCTTCCTCCCCAGACAGACTCGTTCAACAGGTTTCCTTTTTCTCTTCCTCGGCCTCCAGGGTTAGGGAAAGAGGCTGTCACTTCGCTTCGACCCTCCCCTTCCCTCCCTCACTCCTCCCACCCGGCCCTTCCACGCTCACTCGGACCAATCGCGCGGCCTCGAACGTGTCCAGGTTGGCCGCCCCGGGGCTCGCGGGGCCTGGATGAGCCGGGCAGCCAAGGGCGCAGCGGAGGGCGCGGCTTGGCTCGGCTCGGCTCGGCTCGCTGGGCCTGCGTCCGGGGCTGTGAGAACCGCGAGGACCAGGAGGAGGCTGCGGGCCCTTGGGGGTCTGGAGGTGCCCTCCCTTCGCGGGCCTGATGACTGAACTACAGCAAGATGTGGACGACACCAAACCTGCCAAAGCGCTGGGGAAGAGAGAGAGCAGAGTTGGCTCAGCCCAGTAAGTACTCTCAGCTGCGACCTATCCGTGGCGAGAGAAAGCGCGCCGCCCAAACTTCTCTGCCGGGATGAGCTGGGAGTGGAAACGGTCTCTGAAACTTTGTCTGCGACCAGCCTGGAGGCTTGAGGTCTTTTCGCGGCGCCCAGTCTCTCTTTGCTGTCAGATTCTGTAACAGAGAAAAGGCACGGGAGTATTTCAGGAATGTGCTGGTAGCGTCAGGCCGACGGGGATGTGGATTACTTGGAGCCGAAAGCTCGGCTGGTGTCTCATCATTCCCAAGGGAAGTCTGGGGAAACCTTTCAGATCTCTAAGCCAAAGCAAGAAACCGAGCGTTGATCTTTATTTCACTCGTCCTGCTTCGTAATGACGTGCCCCCAGATGCCTTTTTCTCAGAGATGTCATCTGGTTCTCGGTGATGTGGGTCATTTGATTCAGAGCCTGAGGGGTTTTTCCCCAGCCCCCCTTCATCGCCCTCTCCCCCACTTTTCCTAGGTGGGCAACTTGTAGTACTTTGTCTTTTCCCTCAACGACTGTCAGTCTTTGGTTGGTACTTCCCACAAACTTTTTTTTTTTTTTTAACCACACTGGGTTTTTTTTGAGCTGTGGTGAGGGGCGGGGCAGAGTGAACACAATGAATATATAATAAAACACTTCAAATACTGGGTTATTTCTGTCCTCTTAAGGCCTGAGTCACGTGCATACCCGGATTTGCACATTGTTTGGCATATAAACTCTTCAGGATTAAGAAGCTGAAAACTCAAATATTTTGATCACCAGGATTAGCTTTCTGTAATGAAACTTATTTTTATCTCTATTTCTTAATCCAGAAGTGTAATTATTTACATGGTTGTTATTCCCAAACATTCTTCTTTTAAAAATGAAAAGATCGCTAGTTGCTTCTTGTTGTATTACTGTAACACATGATGTTAATTAAGATAAATAAGTCCTATCATTGATCTATTTTTAACGGTACCAAATTTTGGGATTCCCCTAAAATTCTAGGCACTACTGTAAAAAGATAAGTCCTTAATTGTGAAATTTAGTTCTCCATCTTGCATTATTTCAGCATACACTGTTCCACACGCACTGTTTTGTGTATACATGCATATTCCATGTGTGGATTTGTTGGAGTTTTGGCTCAAGTTTTGGGAGAAAAATAGCTTTATTACCTGCTTTGATTGGTTGTTTCAAAGGCTTTGGTCATATTCTTATCAAGTCTCAATTTTGAACTTCGTAACATGGGTGTTCACCAACTCCAGAGATGTTCAAGTCCAGGTGCTTCAGTGGACATGATCTTCCAAGAGTGTTAGAATGGCCTGTCCTTCCCCATTTTCCTGTATCTGTGACTACACACACCAGCAAGGACCTCTTCACCTCAGGCCCTAGCTTCCTTAGTGTTAACAGCTGGCGTTTATTGAAAAATGCTTGCTACGTGGTAGACAGGTGGGCGCTCAACACTTTACATTCATTTTCATATGAAATGAAGTACAGACTATCATTATCTCCATTTTACAAGTAAGAACTTTGAAGCTATACGAAGTTAAGCAGCTAGACAGAAACTTGATGCATAAAGAAAGCTGCTTAAATTCAAGACTTGTCCTCCTAACTCCAGAGCTTGAACTTGAATACTTTATCGGTTCCCCACTACTCCATAATCTATAATGGATCTCCTGACCTGCTCCAAAAAATAAGCTCGTCTGCCAAGAATATAAGACCCTTAATGATGTACACACACAGATCATTTCAATCTCATGTCCTAATTCTAGCAAGCATGCACCTCTTTTAGCCAAAGTATTATATCAGAGGCCTTCTACTTAAGAGACTATAGATGTGCTAAAGTAGCACTGAATGAAGTTCCCTTCATTTTTCCTTTCTCCTCACCTTCATTCTTTTGTTCAAACAGTTCCTTCTCTTCTTTCTCTTAATATATTTCTATTCGTCAACTCAAGTTTTCCTTCCTTTCGAACCTTCCATTATCCCTGGTCATATTCATCTCTTCCTCATCAATGCTCACCTTGTGTAAATCAAGCACTATGGGATTTAGCTGTTGCTATTACTATTAATTAACAATTAACATTTATTAGCATGTAGTAAGTTCAAAGTACTGTTTTAGATTGTTAATGTATACTCACTCCCTAGTTCAGTGTATACTGACTCCCTAGTTCAGTGTATATTAACATTTCCCTAAATCGATTATAAACTTCAGTGAAATTTATCTTAACAAATTTCTCAGAAGACCCAATAGATAATCACTTTCAGGAACCACCTGTTGGTGATCTGCGCAGGCTGCACCCAATCCTTTGCATTGGAAGTTTAGCATATGCTTAGCACTGATACTCACTTTGAACTAGATCAGGAAATTCTACCCTTTTACAATTTTTTATCCAAATTTTCTACCAGTAGCAGTTAAAATGTTTACGTACATTTACTTGCCCCAGAATTATGGCTTATTCATACCCCTCTGGTTGCCTGAGTTTTACCATCAGCTGTCAAGAGTTGTCTTGATTTGGTTTTGACTGACACTTTGCAATGTTTCTCTATATTCCACATTTAAGTGAGACAAGTTTTAGTCTTTTTCCTTTTGACATATTTCACTTAGCATTGTCCTGTCCAAGTCAATGTGACAAATGGCAGAAGTTCTCTTTTTTTAAACCTGAGTAGTATTCCAGTGTGTGTGTGTGTGTGTGTGTGTGTGTGTGTGTGTGTGTGTGTGTGTGAAGATAGATAGATAGATAATGGTTCTAATTACAAAAACTTAGTTATGGAGAGACAACCTAAGTGCCTAAGGACAAAGATGTAGATCAAGAAATTGTGGCATATGCACACAAGGGAATACTTTAATTAAATTTAACAGATGTTCAAAAGGTATATAACACAGACTCCTCCACAGCCTCTTTCTCCTTAAAGAATTTTTTTTATCCAAATTTAAGTTTAATTACCCTTAAAAGAGAAGCCCAGAAAACAATGAAGCAACCTCC